GAAGGAGGATAAGACGTAGGGCATGAAACGTGGTTCCTCTCGCGTTGATGTGGGTTGTTTGGAAAGACAGAGAAATAGGAGAGTTTTTGAGGGGGTAGAATCGATTTTTCCTCATTTGAGTAGTCTCCTATCACTTATTTTCTTTTGGGGCACCCTTAAAGTTCCTTGTTGTATAGATGATAGGGTGGAGTTTGTAGAGAATCATGTCTTTCTGTAGATTCCCCACCTAGTGGTATACCCCTTTGTATACAGCCAGTATTTTGGGCCTTGTTAATGAATGAAATACGTTTACCTGATTTAAAAAAAAAGCATAGGCACATCCAATTGGTTCATGAGCCAACTTTCGTACAATGCTAAGGAAAGCACCAAAAGAACTGTGTTCATCTTATGATAGCTTCCGACCTAACCTGAAGTATATCAAGGGCTCTCTCCAGGGTCTGCTATACAAGGACGGAGGACACACATGTGTGACCTGATGAAGATTGGGCAAGATCACCATCTATTTCAAGGATGTATGTCCTGATTGGAGAGAATCTATTATCCTAGCAAAAAAGCAAGAGTAATGACAAGATGAAGCACGAAAACAGAATACAGTGACATGGCTTTAGCTACATGTGAGCGTATATGGTTGAAGCGACTTCTTCAAAAATTAAAACTCAAAGGATATTAACTTTTTTTTTGAGAAGGTAACATTTGTGTTTATTGACAAGTCAGTACATGGGTTGCACTGAAACCGTATTTACAGCAAAATCAAAAAGACATATAGCTGACTCAAGTTCTAACAAGGTCCTAGGATGTCTATAACTGAGTCAGTGTCCTCTAAGTATATTTGTTTACACCAGAAACAAATAAATCTAATGCAATTTAGTTTGATCATCTGTAGATCACAATTTTTTCTCTCAAAACATCTTGAATTCCTTTCCTTCCATATTGTCCACCAGATACAAGCCGGGACAATCCTCCATCTGTCTTTGTCAGTAGCTCCTACTTCTGCCTCCTCCCAACTATGTAGCAAAAGAGTTATTTTGTTAGGCATCACCCAACTAATACCCCTAAGGCTAACAAAAATTCTCCACAACTGTGTAGTTGTTCTGCACTGTAGAAACAGATGACTAACTGTCTCAACCTGTTCACTACAAAGGTAACATCTGGAACACAAGGAGAATTTCCTCTTCTTGAGGTTCTCTTGAGTCAAAACAGCCTCTCTTGCCAATAACCAAGTAAAACAAACAACTTTGAAGGGGATTTTGATCTTTCATATATGCTTTCATGGACAATGTTGTCTCAGTAGATTTCTTTGGTTCAAAAACTTGTAAGCAGAGTTCACCTTGAATCTACCTTTGCTATCTAACTTCCACCAAAGTCTGTCTTTTTCTTCACTAGTACCTTTAAATTCCTCCAACATTCTGAAGAACTCAATAACTGAATCAATTTCCCAGTCATTGAAGTTCCTCCTGAAATGAATGTTCCAGCCTTGTTGTGTCCATGTGTCAGCCACACTCACCTCCTGCTGCCATCACAGCTAAATCAGGGAATAAACACTTTAAGCTATCTGATCTCAACCAATTGTCCTTCCAAAAGGAAGTCTTGTGACCATTTCCAACTTTAACACTAGTGTGCTTCTTCATAAAAGGCCAAAGTACTCTAATTGATCTCCACACACTAACCCCATATGGAGTATTGACTTCCTTTGTCATCCACCTATCCTCCTCACCATATTTGATTTTAATAACCTTACTCCAATATGCCTGAGGTTCTTGTGAATATCTCCAGAGCCATTTCAATCTGAGAGCCTTACTCTGTCGCTTGAGATTTCTAATGCTAAGCGCCCCTTGTTTTTTTTCCCCAAAGCACTTTGTTCCATTTGACTAGATGGACTGTTGAATCAGTTTCCTTATTCCCTTCCCAAAGAAAATCTCTCCTAACCTTGTCCAACCCCTGTATGATACCATCTGGGATTGGGAAGATGGACATCATGTAGGTGGGAAGAGCATCCAACACTGAATTTATAAGGATACCTCTGCCTCCTAAAGATAAATACTGTGACTTCCATTTGGACAACTGCTTTTCACACTTCTCCATCACAGAGCTCCAAATGTTCATGGAATTTGATTTGGCTCCCAAAGGCATTCCAAGGTAGGTGATAGGTAAAGCTCCTACTTCCCCTCTTAGAATTCTAGACAACTCCTCTATGTTGGTAACCTCATTTATAGGGAACAACATAGGATATTAACTATTTTGTGATAACCAGGCCACACTGCAAATTGTCTCAAATCTTGTGTGAAAGAACAAAGCACATCAAGGTAGATTATCGTTTTATTCATATGCATTGCCAAAAATTTTGCTAACTCTACTAATCAGTTAGTAGGTGTCCATACAAATCATTTAGAGGGACAAGAACTGATTATATTTGTGGCAAGATAGGAGCCTACAACATATACACTTCAGCTTCAGAGGAAGAGTTAAGAATGAAAATATAGAAAGACTTGATCCCTATCCCTGTGTTTATGTAATTAGTGAACATCTAAGGGTACAAAATTATAGGTTTTCCTTTTTATGAATTGCTTGCAAACACTATTTAATCCCCTACCTTTTGAAAGATTAAATATGGAATTCATTTCCTAATCCTCTTTTTATCAAAAGGAAACTTGTTATCCAATTTTTCATATGGTAAAGAAATCCCAAACTACCCAAGGGAGTAATATTATGGTGTAGAGGTTGCACAGCCCAAAATTACAGAAGGAATGGAGGCATGAAATAAAAGACATCAAATAACATTTGCAATGTGACTATACTCTCAGTCAGCATATTTGAGTCTAAGTGTACGGAAAAGAAAAACAAAGAGGATGTTGGATTATTGGTTTGTTTTCCCCCATCTGATTAAAAAAATTGAGCACGCATTTTTTTTTGGTTGAACAGTATATTCTATTGATACCAAAAAAATACGTACAATGAAAGGTCAGGAGCAGACTATGACTATCCATTCCGCTACACAATGACTAAACACTTATTTCTACCTGCTAAAAACTAAACAATCTGGAGAGCATAACTCCTGTGTCCTATGAAACTACTGAACTAGGAAAGAAAACCAGCTAAATTACAATGTATCATCACTAAAGACAATGATTTGAGCAAACATTTTGAACCAATGCATGGCACTCCTTGAATTTATCAATTAACTCCAATTTTAACACACTAAACAGAACTTTGTATAGTCTTCCATAAACAAAAAAGTAGTAAGGAAAAAGAATTAGAAGGTTGATAGCATCCATGTCAGTCTACTTGCACTAAAGATGATGGACTTCAATGAGAAATGAAGAAGATGTTTATTGTGCACGAAAAGCTCAAGATTGACCCAAGAATTATAACAAGAAGTGGACTAAGTGCTACATATATTTCATGGTCCAAGTTCAAGTCCAAGGGCTGAAAGACTGGACAACATGAAGACCAAGAGGAGGGCCCACATGAAGCCTAATAGGAGCATAAATGTATCCTATTTTAAAAGTTTCCTAATTTAATGTTTCCTAGTTTTTATTTCCATAAAAGTAGGATTCGAATCTCATTCTATTTGGGATAGATTTTCCCTATATATATAGGAGTAGATTTTATTATTTTAATTAGACAAGACAAGATATGATTAATATCATTTGAGAGGTTTCTCTTCTTTACACCTTTGTGTGTGGTGACTATGGATTTATCTTACAACCTTATAAGAACGATTCTCAAGAGATAAGATTAAACTTGATATCTTTGGTTCTTATTCATAAATTAAAGAAGGTAATTAGTCTTACATTAAAACTATTGTCTCTAATTTCTTCGAAATAGGGGTCTAAGATCATTTTTTGATCCAAGTTTTTGAATTGGCTCTATCAGTATTATAAATTAGCTTTTGATTCACTAATTTTTGAATACTAAGATCAATTAGGGCATAGCACATTTTTTTGAATTTGGGGATTTTATTCTCAAATTTTGCATATCTTTCAATTCTTGTCTGTAATCTATTTATTTTTGCTTCCACAATAGTTTCTTGTTTATTCAAGTAACCGGATCCTTATCAAAGGTGTTTGCCAAACATCAGAATAGATCAAATGAATGAAACACTAGCAATATCATTAGAAGACTGAAAAGATAGTCTGGAATGTTTGCCAAATTGATAGACCTTACAAATATTATTTGAAAAAGCAGAACTGCAAGAAATTATCCTTTATTGATTATTATCAATATGATAATTTGCAAGCATTCCCTACTAAATGGCTGGGCTGATGTGATGAAGAGGTGTTGCTAGATAATGCAAGAGGAGATGAGTTCTTGGCAATAAGAAGAGAATAGAGAGCATCCGAGTATCTACAGTGGCGCAACACTTGATTTATCTTCTTGCCCTTGACCAAAAAAACCATTATCAGTAAATTTAATAGTAAGATCATTATTCCAAGTGAAGAGGGTAGTTCTATAGGAGAACCCCCCTTTGATGTTAGAATAATTTTGAGGATAACAAAGGTCTAACAAAAAGAAGTGAAGGCATTTCAGTGGAGGAGGAAGAAGAAGGATATACCATTGGTTCTGATATCAAGCTGAAAAGAATAATCTAAAAGTGCTCTCAAGCCAATATATTGAATTATGCATGTATTCACATGAATCGTCCAAGTCAATTAGTACAATAAAAATAAATATATTGTAAAATATAAATATAGTCTATTAATACATTTATCAGCTCAAACAAGAGAACAGACAAAGTGGTAGATGTCTTCTGCAGCCCCCTTTTTCCCTTTTTACGCAAGGAATTTGGTTGTTCAAGACAAGATTATCCAATGTGAGTGCAAAAACTTGTTTTCCTTCAAAAATCAGTTGCTTCCTTCATACCAACTCTTTTAACATCAGGTGGATAAGTAGGTGAAGAACGGAAAGGACGACAAGTATTTGAATACAAGGTGTGAACTAAATTTCTCAGAACACTTCAGATTAACATAACAAGAACAGGCATCAGCTGCAGTAAAACTTACGCTTTGTGTCGTAGCTCCAGATGCAGCTCCTTTTCAGACAAAGGTGGAGATTTACCAATCTCAACCTCAAGGCGGTAGCGTGCTTGCTCAGCCTTCAATTCCTTAACCATTTCAAGCTTTTGGTTTCTTCTGACATCAAGCATCTGTGCTGCTAAAGGTACAGTCTTAACATATCTGACCATGACAAATAAGACAGTCAACACAAAGCTTAAATGGGTGTTCCATTCATACTAGCAACCATCAGAAGGAAATGTACCTGAATAGGAAATAAGCAAGCAAGAGGTGTAATATTTCCTTAGACTATATTGTTGTATTGTCTTTACTTATCCAAAAAGTAATATGTTCTCAAAAATTTAGAGTGCAGGGATGTATGTTCACAATATCAAGAAATAAGCTCAAATACCTGTATTACTATAGCCTACTGTCCATGAAGAATTTGTCGCACTATGACGCAGAAACAAGAAAGAGAAAAATTTCAAGTAGTTTTAATTAGGAAAATGACACTTTAGTAGGCTTCGAACCATTGGAACAAGTAATGGATGAAGTTGAGCAAACCTCTTTTTTGGGGGGATAATGATGGAGTAAGCATACAACAAAAGCTCATAAGAAAGAGCATCAGGGAATTCATCAGGCTGTCTGAATGAGAATTACAAACTTAATACAACACCTCAATCCCAAACAAGTTCATCTTAGAAAAATCTAATAATAGTAGTAACTATAATAATAAAATATTTAAAAGGATTGTTTGCTCTCAGGCACCCTTTTCAAGGCTTTTTTCTAAAGTCCCCTCTGGGCTTTGGGATCCAGGTGTCATATCTTTACAGTTAAAAATTGATCAAAGAAGAGAGAAGGAAGTTTCCCCAAATATGACCTTATCAGAGAATTTGGATAAACAATTGGTTCCAAAGGAGTTGAAGAACCTTATCCTTGATGTAAAATTCAAGGATACAGAGCCAATGAGCGACTCAAGAAATAGAGGGAGGAAAACAGACTACTCAGTTGTTATGAAGTTGAAGATACTAGCCTAGAATGTTAGAATGTTAGGGGGTTAAACAGGGAGGAGAAAAGAGAATTAGTAAGGAGCAGAATTCAACAAGAGGGAGCAGAATGAGATTTTATGTTGATGAGATAGTCTCTTCTCCTCTAGAAACAAAATGAGATTTTTGATCAATAGCTATGGAAGGACTGGACAATATAATGAGAAAGGCTACAGCAAATAACTGGATAAGGGGCTTCAACATTAAGAACATGAACAATGAAACTATGGTGGTGACTCACCTATTATTTGTTGATGACACAATGGTTTTTTTGTGAAGCTGAACAGGAACAATTTGCTACCTGAGGGTGATTCTGGTAATCTTTGAAGCTTGTTCTGGTCTGAAAGTTAACCGGAGGAAAACCAACATTTTTCCGGTTAAAGAGGTTAAACAAATTTAGACACTTGCAGATATTCTGAAATGCAGGAAGAAGAGATGCCCACAGTCTATTTGGGAATGCCATTGGGTGCTAAACACAAAGCAGTGAATATGTGGAATGGAATAATAGAGAAATCATAAAAAAACCTAGCTCTTTGGAAGTCACAGTACCTTCTCCTAGGTGGCAAAGTCATATTGATAAATGCAGTCCTAGACTCATTGTCAACCTATGTGATGTCCTTATTCCCCTTCCTGGCAAGGTGGTGACAATCTTGGACAATCTGTGGAGGAATTTCCAGTGGCAAGGAACAAGATTGACAAGAGTCTTAACCTTGTAAAATGGATCACAATCCAGCAAAGCAAGAGTTTTGGAGGATCAGGAGTGAGAAACCTGAAGTTGCACAATAAGAGTTTGCTTATGAAAGTGCTATGGAGATTTACCCAACAGGCCTGAATCCGTGGAAGGAGATAATTTTGCATAAATATGGCCAAGAGGGTCAGTGATGCACAAATGAGGTGACTGGCACTGATTGGGTTGGGGTTTGGAAGTAAATGAAGAATCTCTGGCTGTTATTCAAGCCTGACACTAAAGTAGAGTTGGAAGGGGAGATACGGTACTTTTCTGGAAAGAGGACTGGAGTGGTGATAGAACTCTTCCATCTTTGTTCCTTGGTATGTTTTTAATATGCTTGAAACCTGATTGCAATATACAAGAAGTGTGGTCTCCCCAAGGATGGAACGTGACCTTAAGAAGGTTCTTAAATGATTGGAAGTAGCATGGGTATCAGAACTTCTGAATTTGACAGGAAACTTCCCAGGTACTAACATGGAACCGGACAATCTCATTTGGGGGCACCACAATGATGGTATTTCATGGTTAACAGGGTATACAAAAGGGGTCTGAGTGAAGCTGCAGGCAGGTAAACAGGACCTTGATTGCTATTTGGAAGAGTGTTGCTCATACAGAAGTGAAGTACTTCACTTGGTTGGTAACTAGGAAAGCATGTTTGACATATGAGGCATTACAAAAGAGGGAGATCAGCATTGCATCTAGGTTCCTTCCATGCAAGGAGGCACTAGGAACCAACAAACACCTCTTCCTGCATTGTAAAGTAACAGCACAAACACGGGCCTTGTTCACTACCATTGCTGGAGTTTATTGGATCATGACTGAACATACTGTTGATTTGCTTAGCTGTTGGATCAGGAGAGGAGGAAGCAAGAGCCAGAAAAGATGGTGGAGGAAAGTCCCAGCTTGCATCTGGCGGAACATTTGGAATGAGAGGAACCAGAGGATCTTTGAAGGAAAAGAATCCACTATACAGAAGATTAAGTGGAAAGTTATTACTTCACTATGTTTTTGGAGTAAAGAACAAAACATAGAAGAGGAAATCTACTAAGTGGAATTCATCAAATCTTTGTAAGTATCTTTAATTTTCTTTACTGTAAACTTTTTTTGGAGGTGGTCAGCATACCCCTTAATGCTGAAGAACACAAATTACTAGTTTCAAAAAATAATAATTAGTAGTAGTAGTACTAGAAGTTTTCCATATTTTTTACTAGTAAATAAATCTCAGATAGGACTAAAAGACTCCTAGAAAACATAAAAACTAAAGTATACATACTAATGTGACTAAAATAAAGTCCAAATACACGAATCATATATACAACTTTTTCTTCCATTGTCTGCTACTTTTTGCTAGGTCTCCGCTGATTCCAACAAATTATAGGTCTTTTGACAATTCATGTGATTTTAGGTCTACCTCGTCTCCTTTTCAACACATTCAGTCAGAGTTTCACACCTATAGACCAGTGCATTCGGAGGTCGACAAAGGACATGAAAAAAAAAATCATCTCTCAAGCAACTTTCTTTCAGTTTATCCTTGATTTATGCTACTTGCACCTTCAGCCGGATGTAGACATTTCTATCTTGTATGTTTGCACGTCCATCTTTGCATGCACATTCAACAACACTCATCTTGTGAATATTACACTAACCATCCAACATTCACTCCCATATATGTTACTAGTTTTATGCTGGTTGTCAACCTATCGCAACCCTCCTCCTTTATCCGAGCTTGGGAACGGCGCAAATTCACACAAACTCAATAAGCAAAATAAAGGGCAAGAAAAGAAAAGGCAGGAGTTAACAGATCGTGTAGTTTAGAATTAGGCTTTGTGTTTGTAATAGCATCTAACCAGAAAAGCAAAGGGGGCTAGTGTTACTTGGAAGATGGAAAAGGCAGACTGATGTATATGAATATAGAGTTAGGAGACAGAAGTCATTTGTCAACTAGCTCCCCTTATCTTTTATCTGACTATATCTACAAAATAAAATACTCCAACGCCAAATAAACCAGCACGGTTTTCTTTTTGAGAAGATACACCAGCACAATTTTCATTCTGATAATAACGCTATGCATTCCAGCTGAGGATACTCAGAAAAAGACCAATTATGAAATCTTGTTACATAAATCCTATATAAGCCTAACTTATGCTACATGGACAGTCAAATGCTGCCATGAAGAACAGGGATTTACCGCTTTTTGTGAGACATTTGTAAGGGCATGAATATAAAATATCTTAGATTTGACAGAAACTGATGATGAAACATTTTCATCCTGCACTTGTTTCCATTGGACTTCTAGAGTTTGAACAATTTAAATGACGTGTTATGGAGCTATTAGATTCCACTGCAGATCCTTAGGAAATGGTAACGCCTCCTTGGCACACTAAATCAATCATTTATGTAACAGAGAACGGTTTAGTTACCTACAGAGGTTCTAGTGCTTACCATCAATATCAGGTCTTACCAAAAGAGATGTAGGAAAACATTTGATGGTAAAACAAAGTTAGGTACATAAGATCAAACATCAATCACTTCGAAAATGTAGCCAAAAGGCATGTAAATAAATCCAAGCAGAAGTTACCTGTCAAGAAAAGGCATAAGAACATAGTCATGAACTACAAAATCCAAAGCCCATGGGACAATTATCAGCAATGCCAAGAACTTCGCCTGCAACAGGAAGAGAAAAATCGCTCCTAATAAAAAGCTTTAAGAGTACATTTCAGATGCAACATTTGGAGATTCTCAGTGCTCAACAACAATACCCAGTGAATTCTAAGTGCTCAGGACATGACAATATGAGATGTGTTAGATGTTTCTACATTCATAATCTTTAGAATAAATCCAAGGAAAATACATCGACGTGCAGAAGCTCCTCAGCTTTGTTACCTTCATTTTGGCAGCCTTAGCTATTACATAAACCCTTCTTGAGGTATTGAAAATACTCAATTACCATATGTTCAGTGCACCATGTTGGCAGTGAATTGCAAGGAGCTTTTGCATATGCAATTCTTGGACCTAACTATTCCACATTGTAATAGGTTTCTCAAAAAGTTCACCAATTGAACCATAGAGACACTAAAGATTATGGACTAATTTGAGGGGGGAATCAAGATGAGAATGAGAACAAATGCACTTACAGAATTAAATGAAGCATACTGAAAAATACGATCTTCATATAGCATATCATCTTCTTCCCTGCCGAGTATCATATCCCTCACGGATTTAACCAAACCCCTCCCAGGTATTAATTCACTAGGATCTTCCATAATGTTATCTTCAGGTACTCCAATGGACTCCTGAACCCATGATGAATCATTACCTAAATCAACATTTACATCGACAAGCCAATCGTCCCACTTCCTATTCTCCTCATTCTTTATATCTTCTTGTGCTTCCCTTAACTCCATGATTGCCTCGGCTCGTCTCTTCCAAGCTTCAAACTTTTCATTCTCTGATAATTCATCATCACTACCTAAACCTTCAGATTCAAGTCCATCAATCATATCATCCTCCCTCAGTCCCAGCCAATTCCCACTTTCAACAAAAAACAACTCTCTCCACCAGCTTTTCTTCTTTGAATACTTTTTCTTTGCATTTGGAGTCGACCCAAAAGATTTCCTCCTCCCCCAACTAAAGCGAGCCTCAGTAATACAACTTTTATGCACAAATACCGAACTACTTTTCTTGAAAGATAGCAAATTTTGACCTAAGACCATTGAAGTGCTCATTAAGGACATGTATGGTAGACAACATTTTTCAGACTCATAGGGCAGTAGTAAAGATGTAACTCCAAGAAGCATTCAGAGGAAAAGCACCAACAAATACATCATTGAAGAGCTGGGAAAATACTGATGAGATAACCAAGATTCAACAAGAGAGAATTTAACAGCAAACACAAGAATATAAAGAAAATGGAACCCCCAACCTGCTCTCAGCTATTGTTTATCTGATAACTTGAAGGTGAAATTGTCAGTATTTAGGGTGAATGGGGCCAATTGGAGTGAAGCGAAAAGCGAATAGGGATAACGGAAATTGGTCTATTTTTCCATTGATAAACTTTGTTTTCTTTATCTATTCCAATTTCCAACTTACCTTTTTCATCTTTACTTTATTCCTATACACAATTGTACATTATTCCAAAAAAAATCTAGAAATCCATAGCTATCTATTGGGTTGATATGACATAAATTCGTTCATGTGCAATAGCTCATCTATTACATAACAAGATATATAAATTACATTAAGCAAATTCAATAGGATTTCTGACTTTTCTTATGAGGAAATATCACATGTTGCACTAATTCAGTTGTATTTCAATTTATAATACTTCTTTTTTCTTTTTATTAAAAGGAAAAATTATTTAGGTAAGTATTTCTTAATAAATAATTATGGATTTTAGCGACACTATTTTATTTGTTATCGTTATAATAATACATAACAATATTATGATAAATCTACAATATATATTAAAAGTGAATTATGCATGTAATATAAATGTATTATAAGTGTTTTAATGATATATATACTTGATTGGTAAGAAATTGACATAATATTGTATGTGTATTAAAGTGATAAATGTATTTATCAATAAAAATTATATTAAATGTGTTTTATAAATTATTCTCAATAATATGTATTGAAACTATATTATAAATGTACTATAAGTGTTTGATAACAAAAAAAATGTTATTATTATAAATTATAAATATTTTCTTAATATTCTAGAAGCATGAGAGGCAGCTCAGTATCAACATGTCAGCTTCTTGGAAATAAATTCTCATCTTCTTACTATTTGGGTGTTGGAGAAAAAAAGAGAATTGGACAAAGCTTGGAGCTCGCCAACTAATGGTGAATTTAATACTCAAATTGCTATGTTTTTGCATATTTACTGCCTTTTGTGAAAAGTTGGAATAAAGTTAAAACAAGAATATGCATGACGCCCGATGCTTTAACAAGGTACATGACAACCTACCATACTTCATTATTACTACATTGCACATTTACAACTTAATACACTTCTTTTCTCAATTACAGTATTTTGGCAATTACACCGTCAGAGCAAGATGACTATCACCACCACCTATCCAGTTTCTTTACAAATATGTAAATAGCATCACATAAATGCATATACACAGTGCAATCACAAATGTAATGTATACACAACATATGTATATTTATATAAGAGCTATCAATATTTGTGACAATAATCACCTATTTCGTATTGGGCTCGTGCGCGCACGGACAACTGTCGTCTAGTTAATATAACATATGTAAGTTTCTCTTTAAATTTTGTTGTTATACCATGTTCGTTTCACATAGCTTTTAACGTATTAAAAAACAAAATTATCTAATTAATCAAATAAATTTGATATGATAATTCTTAACAAGGAATTTCACCTATAATTTAATAGAACTTTTATCCCAATACTTACTTAATTGACAAATTAAATTAATTTAATATAAGAGAAATACATTCATCTAATTAGTCAAGCATAAATTTTGAATATCCTTAACAATGTAATCTTTAGTTATTAATTTAATATTTTGGGATAATATTTTTCTACAGGTACCTACACATACACAATAGATAAGCTAAGTTACTTTTTTAAATTACATTCCCCAAAGGTTTTGTTTGTTTTTTTAAGAATAACATATCTGAATTTAAATACATATTTAAATAATTAAGAAATTATTTTTAGATCTTAACACTAATTGATTATGACTGTTTATTTTTCAATATCTGAATGTACATAGTTTATTTATCTTTAGGTATAATAAATATAAAATTTCAATAGAAAAAAATATAAATTCATTAAAATAAAATCATTATTTGATTAAAAAAATTGAATACTTATGATTGATAGTGATGGTGGTGGATGGTGGTGGATGGTGGATGGTTGATAACTTGATATTAGTGGCTACTGGCTAGTGATAGTGATGGTAATAGTTGTGATGTAAAGATTGTTAGTGTTGTAGTGACTGATGCGATAGTGGTGATCGGTAATAGTGGTGGTTGTTGTGATGATGATGAAGTGGGGGTGCATGTTTTTAATGGTGATAGCGAATGAAGAATGTGTGGTGGTAGTCGACGGTGGTACTAGTTATAACGATGGAAGTGGTTAGTAGTATAGATTGACCATAGGGTGATAGTTGTTGATAGTGATGGCAAAGATGGCAACAATGACGAAGCCAAGAAGGTGATATATGTGGTAACGACTGATAGTAGTGACAGTTTCCAAGTGGTAGTGATAATGATAGAGATGATTGATGATGGTGATGGTTGATTAGTGGTGAAATATGTGAGTAATGACAAAAGTTAGCAACAAAAAATACCTTTTATATTAAAACTTTGTTCAAAATTTTTATGATTATGAACATCTTAATAACTAAAACCTATTCAAATCAAAATAAATGTGTAAATCTTAATATATACAATACACTTTATAATTTGAATCATTCAAATTCAAACATTTATCAAGAATCCTGACAATATGATTCGATTAGTTGTGGACGGGAAGTTTGGAGAGCTGAGAAGGAAAGTAAAAAGTTGATTTGCTTCCCTGCAAATAATGAAGTAAAGAAAAATAAACGAAAGTGAAAGATTATTTTGTGCATATATTTGTTTGAATGGGAAATGAAAATTAAAATATTTTCTTAATCACAAAGGAAGAGGAATTTCATTATTTGTGTTGCAAAAAGATATTTTTTTGTGATAATTTTTTAATGAGATTGATGTTTCTTAAGAAAGAATATTGTAATTATAATATCACTTTAATATAAATAATACAAAAGTCTCAGTATTTTAAAAGACTAAAATTGTTAACTAATGAGAAAAAATATAGTATATATTTCTCCTATTTTATTTCACCTATTTTCTTCTTCTTTTTTTCTTTCTAAAATGCCAATAATAAGATTAATTTAAAAGGAAAATAAAAGAAAGATCATGCATTAAAAAATTTAGGAAGAGAACTACTTTTTCTATATTTATGGACAATATAATAGTATGTTGCTAAGATTGTAGGATTACAATAATTTTTTAAACCTAACATATAATATATTTATTAATTAAATTATGATTAGTGATTTACTTTGGACAATTAAATCTTAATCATTTAATTTAACTTATGTGATGCGTCACAAATCCAAGTAGAAACTTGGGAAAAATGGAGAGAAGAGAAATGGAGAGAGTCGGATTCATAAAATCATATGCACAAGAACAATATTATTAAAAAGTAGTAACTAATGTTAAAATAAATGTTATATCTTTTTAAATAATTTAAATAAATATTGCACCTCAGATATGTCATTGTCTTTTATATCTCACATAATCTTTTATTACAAACGAAAAGAACAAATTTTAATTTGAATCCCAAAATTTCAATCATGAAAATTGAGACCGAACCAATGATTTGAAAATTTGTAAATCTTTATACATGTGAAACCTTGAATAATTGTGCATTTCGAAAAAGAAAAAAAATCATCAGCTCCACGAACGTAATAACTAGAGATGTCAAATGAGTGGGTTGTGTTGAAATTCGAGAAATAAGAATGAGTTGAAATAGAAGGGAAAACTTACATAAATATACTATAATAAAAAAATATTTACCATTTATAGCAATAACATTTTTTTCACTTGATCACTTTTAATACATTTATAATACATATTACAAAAAACAATTTATTATTCACATATAATACAAGTTATCGATAATACATTTATCACACATTTCAATACACTTATAATACTATGTGTCAACTTATTACCAAACAAGCAAATATATTTTTAAAAAATAGTTTTAATACATATATATTACATACATAATTCACTTTTAATACATATTGCATGTTTAATATAGTATTGCTATAAATGGTATTAAATTAAAAGTATCGCTAAAATTAGTAATTATTCATTAAAAAACACTCATTCAAGTAATTTTTCCAAATAGAAATTGGGGTGAGTCTTGACTTGCCCAAGTTTACTTTGGACTCAAATAGGTTGGGCTCAAATGGGCTTTAAACGGATTGAGTTTTGATCCACTTAATCTCAATAATTATATAAGTTTTATAACCACATTTTGAATTTCAACTTAAGATTTTTTTTAAAAACAAGTTACAAATAGATAGATAATCCTAAAAAATATAAAACAGATAGTAACTTGTACCTTCAACATAGGAATATACATTAAATCAATGCATATAAAGAGTCTTAAAACGGTTGAAATTGAAGATTAAATTGGGGAATTCTCTTAAAATGGATTAAGACTTGAATGAGTTGAGATTGAATCAAATTCAAATTATGAGTCCAATGCTTAAAATTATGGATGGGTTACCTCTAGTTGGACTCGATCAGTTTTGACACCCACCCTAGTAGTAACGTTTCTTGATTTGCCGTTGGTCCATATCCATAAAAGGAAAGGATAATATACAAGACACATGCATCCTTTAGAGAGAAATGACTTGATTTAAGTTTGAGTTGTAGCACAACAGTCCCAGTACATTTGTAAAAATAATTAACTTGCTATTATTACCTCTTAAAATACACTAATGTTGCATGTAAAAATCCTTTACAAAGTGTCAAAGTCGATATATACAAATTAGATCTTTTGCTATATATGTCGATATATATATATATACAACATAGCAAGAGAATCAGAGCTACTGCCAATTTTTCGTTCCGCGCCTCCATGGTGATCAGATCAGTATGGTTCGATGATCATGATACCAAACCTGCAACTATTGAATCCGACTTTGTGATTGTCCCAAGCCCTGAGAACTTGCAAGCCTCATCAACCTGATTGTTTATCTGATAGTAACTATTGAATGCATGCATATGAATTAATGTTTTCTCTTGCATTCACACGATGTCTCGTATCCAAGGCTTGTGCAATCACCACGTACACAAGCATAACTCACACTAGGGTCGTCAAGTTTAGCATTTGGCT